CACACACACACACACACAAACACTGTGTGTTCATGTCACATGGCAGTGACTGTCTACTGGTGGCCCACGAGCCACATCCAGGCCACCCATGCAAATTCCCATCCAGCCTGCAGAATACTAATGAATTAAAAAAATGTGAGGAGGAAAAATAAATGCCCTTATTCCCCCAATTCCATCAATCTCTCTCTCCCTCCTCAAACGCATTGTCAACAGAGCCATCTGTGTACAGCCCCCCCCACCCTCTGTGCAAACTCTGAATCAAGACATGATCATGTGTGATTGGAAGGATTGTTGTTGCTTGTACTATCAACTGCTCATGCAAATGAATCATTTGTTTACTCTGATGCTCCCTCAATTCCCAACAATTAAACATATATATAAATATTTGAAGACTCAAAGTGCAAAGAAAGTCAGGACATGAGGTATTAGCAAAATCTAACACCCACAAACTTAGGAACACGGGCGAGAAAGCTGTACATTCCAACCAGTGTGATATGTTATCAAATGAATGTTTTATTTATTTCATCTCTTTAACCAGTGCTGCTATTGTAACTGAAGCATCAAGAGGTCAGGAATGAAGAGCAGTGGATAATGAAGAGGGATGTAAGAGAGGAGGAGGAGGAGGAGGAGGTGGAGGACATTCTGCTGTATGAGAGCAGGACAAAGCATCAGGTGAGATTGAGAGCAAACACAGATAGAGAGTATATAGATTTATAGTGACAAATGTATTGGGAATTTTTTATTATTGGTCACAAACCACTCAACAATTAAAATAATATCAGTGTAGCACCCTTTTAGTATCATTTCCACATTAATTTAAGAAATAACCCCAAACGCAATTGAGATGCAAATAATTTTATCAGGAATCATACAGATTTAATTCAATAATAAGCTTACATTATTATTATTAGTGAAAAGCCAACACAACCTTGTGCAGGACGAAGACCTACCTCACTCAAAAAGCTGTGATGAAGCTGAAATGAATTCCAGAATAGAATGCAGCTTTTAAGTTTATCTCATTCCACCAATTAGGACACTGCACAATAACAGCAAAGCTGTTTAAATTAAATTCATATGTAAATCAAGACAGTTTTCTATTTTACGTTTCCAGAATCACACATTGGAAAGAAAATGAAATCATAACATAATAGGCTCAATGGGCCTAAGTGTATTTTGTTATTTAAAAGTATATCTCCACAGTTTCTATACTGACACTGTTACTTTCCCAAAGTGTCAGTGTGAAAATAACAGCCTAGCTCCAGATTCTGAAACAATGGTGATTACTCTTTTTTCTTTTCAAGTATGAAGGTTACTTCTACTGAATTCAAATGAATTCTCAAGTGAAACTCGTTGAGAAGCGACATTCTCAAGCTTTGAGCTTTTGTTGTTCTAAACAATGGCATTCTGTCTCAAATCCTCTCTTGTTGACTCATGTTTATTGCATTGTGCAGCTCAAACATCCATTTATTTCAAATCCTTCATCCAAGGTATGTGTCTTACTAACTATCCACTTTGTTACAGATTTGTTAAAGATCCCTTCCAGCTGAGTTTGAAGACATTTAACATACACACACGCTTGGAATTATAATTTGTGTCTCATTTGATTTTTCCACGTAAAAACTCAGTCATCTTAACTCCCTCTCCCTCATTTAAAACCAATATACAGATACACAAATATTTTTATTTTTATTTAACTGCTGGTTGCATATATCAGGACAAAGACTGCATTCCCGTCACAGTGACGTCACAAACCATCCCAAACTCACATTAAAGGTAAAAACAAACTTTTCTACTTCAAATGGCTACGATGAAAACCTTCTAGCGTCAAACTATGCACGTGTTGTACAGTGAAGGTCAAGCATCTGAGAGAAGTGACAAATGCGGAACACGTTTTGTGAGGAGAAGAACTTTTCGTACCTCTGTACATGTCTACCCACAGCTATAAACAAATCCCTCACTGCTGATAAAACATTCAAATTCAATGAACGAGAGCTCTTTAATGAGTCATACTTGGAAACTTGTACTATATTTCTAACACATCTTGTTGGATTAAAGATGTCCGGCTGCATTTAGTGAAAAGAATATTTGAGAGTTTAAGCTGTAACATTATTTCAAACTGCTAAGTTTCTTTAATCACCATTGTCAAATGAAAACATAAAATCAGGTTTTATCATCAAAGAAACAACAAACAACAGTGTACAGATTGAGAATAAAGTGTAACCTTGAAGGGACTTTTTAGTTATTGTGTTGTTAAAATCTGATAAACAGGATGTAGCACTGAGCAAAGGGACAGAAGAGATATTATAGAGCAGAAGAGCAGAAATTCAACGTTAGATGTGTTAGAAAGGATCACGTGTTAATTGGAGAGAAATGCAGAGATCACACCCACTGATCAAAGCAACATGAATGTCTGGGTCAGGTTCCTTTGACAAGATTTTCTTCATATTCTTTCCATTGTGATAAATATGAAATAAATGACTATAAAATAAATAACATAAATGAAAAATGCTCTTTATGTTTGCATACAGATCAATGGTAATGGTAATAATAATGAAAAATTGGAGTCAAGAGTCAAATCTAAAAAAATCATTATCTCTCCATCACACTGGAATGAACTATTAACCTTTTTTATTTCATAGGATGGCATTTGAATGTGAGATTTTTTATTGTGTTTACTCTGGTTAAAGTGAATGGCTCAGTGTTCTCCACTCAGATTTGGGTGATAGTGATGCCAGATGTCTGTGTGAAGGTTCACATTTTATGAACCCAGTGTCATTTTGTTTTAATGGAAAAACACAATTAAAAATGAGAAGTATGACTAAATGAGAAGCAATTAAACATTAAAATGAGACATTAAAGTGTTCACACTAATGGGACTGAGTCGATGACGCCAGGTTGTGACAAGAAGGTCAAGGCCTTGAACCACAGAGGAGAGATTAAACAACTACGAGCAGAAAAACCTACTTGCACAGCACTTAAGTGCTGCTTTGGTTGAAATGAAGTATGCCGAACAGCAGAAGACGGCGGTTTTAGTAGGCAACAAACTGGTGTGCGTCAGGGTATTTGCTCCATTAAACCCAGATAAATGATGATTATACAACTGAGGGAAAAATTCTATGCCTGCAAGCTCAACATAATAGGTAATTTACACTGGTTTCCATTTACATTTATGCAGAATAACTTTGTAACTACACACTATACTGGGAATTTTAACACAAATCATCCCAGGTTCCCATTTCCCCATTGTTTTACAGTTAGTAATAAATAATGACAAGAATTAAATTGGCTCATTCNCAAATATTAATATTAAATTAAGGGAGAATCACACAGGCAGTGCCAGAATAAGAGTTTGTTTCAAGAGTTTGAGAAGAAGCAGAAGAAAAAAATTATAACAATAGCTAAAGGCTCCAGATGTCCCATTTTTTATGTAGCCACCATCAATCACACATAGAGAATGAAGTAAATGTGTGTTCAGTGCCCCTGTTCTCCCAAAGAGTGTTTTATTAAATAAACTAGGGACAGTGAATTGCATTACTCCCGTTGCAGCCCAGATGATATATACCTCTGGATGCAAAGGGACAATGAACAAAGATTATTTTCTGTTGCTTTTCTGAGGAGATGTAAGGATATATGTATTACCTGTGATTCCATATTCTTCATCATCTAAGGCCAGAGGTGTTATTTTATTTAGTTTGTTAGGAACCATATCTCGACTTCCCCAAAATTTGGACGGATTCCAGCACAATAACCATGAGAAAGTAATGCTGGTGAGCATTAAGCAAGTGAAATCACTCAGATGGGAAAAGGTCCAGATTTGCCTCAATTCAATCTAAAGTCAGCAGTGCTCGTTCAGTAGCTAGTTCCTTAGAAGTTCCTCTTGTCTACGTTAGCAGTCTGATTTGTTTAAAATCTCAAGTATAAATATTAAATTCATGAAGCAAAACATTACATTTGGCTGTGAAATTAATCTTGGCCTCACACATACTGTTTCATCTTGCAAAGCAACACCATTACATTGACCAGTATATCCATAGCTTGTCCATTTGAATAGTGCATGAAATGACATTTAGAATATGACCTTTATTCTGCTTTGCTCATTATAGTTAAAGTAAAATGTAAGAAATGGTTTTGGATTATGTAGAGTAGAGCTGTGTGGCAGGAGCTGAGCTGAAAGGTGCCAGACCTTTGGGGCCTCACCACAGCACTTCTACATTTACAGTCATTGGCAGTCTTTTTTTCTGTTAGATGGGGGCACATTAATATATAAAGGTATAAAATGCATCACCAACATCTGCTATTACGCCAAGAAATGATTAATATAAATGTGGCCTCATGGGAAGGAGTGTTTCCCTTTGATGAAGTCCACTTGGCAAAGCAGAGTTCAGTGTTTATACACTACTGTCCACTGTTAGATGACACGTCTTTTTTTGAATATTAGTCTGTACGAAATACAACTTTTAGTACATCTGTTCACATGAAAAGCATGTTGAAAGCTGATAATCTGAATGAACACATTTCTGTCATTTTCTGACGCCTCCGTGGCCCCGGCCAGTTTCATTTGATATCTTTGTCCAGCTAGCACTTTTACCTGTGCCTGGGTGGGTGAGGGTTGGGCATTAATGAGCCTATGAAGGTTGCTTTGCCTCCAGATCTCATTGCCAAAAGTACAAATACAGCCTAAGGCTGTTAGGCCTAATTAAAGCCAATAACCCGCACAGCTTGATCTCAAACTTCAATTCCAACTGCAAGTCTGCAGCCTCCGTGCTTCTGGTTTGGTTATGTTAATTAGTACTGATGGACCAGGCAGGCTTCTGCTTCACTTTTTTCCCTATGGCCTCCAAGTGAACCACATCATCTACTATATGTATGATATATTTAAACATTCTGATTACGTTTAATTATTCTGAAGAATTAATTGAATGTAAATCTATTAAATGTTTATGGGATTCATTTTAACTTACTTGTCTTTTGTCTGTATTGTAAAAGGTCTTTCTTTGACGTCTTAATGCACTCCATAGTCACAGGAGAAATTTTGACTTTTCATTATAGGAAAAAGCACAGGTGTTCCTAACAACATTAGTGACGGCTCTGTTCAGTCTGACAGTGATCCAGCATGAACAATAGCAGGACTCTGAAACTGGAGCAGTTATATATGGAAGTTTATTATTTTCTCTTGTGCCTCTCCGACTGAGATATATTAAAATGTCTTTTGGGGAAAAAGGGTCCTTTAGTTTATAATTCTGAAAAGTTCTGATCAGTGGGATTAGTCAAGATGTTAGGATACAGTTTGTTGACATGAAGGAATGGGTCATGTTCCCATTTGTTCATTAGGTGGTGTGACACAGGACGGGATGTTTGAACTTTACTGCCAATCAGCAGTGCTGTCTGAGCCGTGCAGCAGCATGTAGAAACAGTCATCAGAACAGACACCCTGTTGTCAGGGGGAAGTGCAACTTGTGTTGCTGCGAGACTCTCTCAACTCTCATGCGGCACCTCAGACAGGCCAGAAAGACCATGATTGCGAGTAAGACCTCATACCACAAATTATGTTTACCAGCTTTTTTTTTTCTTTGACCTATATCGTAACTTTGTTTACAGCTCTGAACTCTGGAGGTCCAGACTGATAGTTTTAAAGGTAGTAAACTTAAAACAGAGTTATGATATGGCCTGAA